ATGTCCTACTTAGCAGGTCTGCTCCACCTCTCACAGTGTGGCCTCCATGCTGTGTGCAGCTAAAACTGATGACATACAGGCCTGGTCCCCAGAACTTTTTTTTTTTCTTCAAAGAGGCCTTAAGGCTCTACATCTTCTTTGCCCCAACCAGAGAAACAAAACAATAACACCCCCACTTTTTTGTGTTCCCTCATGAAGTGAAATTCTGCATGAGCGTATCAGAATTGGTGCAGTCCACGAGTCTGCTTCCATGCCTCTAATCTAGCTGGGAAACTTTGCTCTGAGTTTCACCTGGGGGAATAGGGTATTATAATGTGAAGGGTTCCCAGGCCAGAGGAAGGATCATTAGGAGATAATGAGCGACCACGAATTTGACAAAGGGCCTCTGCTATCTGTCTATGAGGATGAAGAGAAAACAATCTAACCAAACAAGTAAAAGCACTTTCGAGGAGTCAAGCTGTTAAAAGCTGGTGGAAAGAACTCGGTTACAATTTTAGGGACCATTATTACCGCCAGAAACCTAATAGTAGTTATTATTTACAAAGCTGAGACTATTATAGACCTCATCCAGTGGAGTCCGTTCCCCACCCTGAGGATGTGTTTGCTCTTCTTTCTCTCTATGTTCAGAAAATCTGGCCAACCTCTGCCTGGGTCATACAGTTGACATGGGTTCAAACTTAATTCCCCTCATTTCATACTCTACGGTCTTCATCAGCATACGAGAACATTTCCCAGTGGAGCACAAGACACGAGACTCTCTGGTACGCACAGGGCTCTGATAGGATGTGGCCTGTTTATTCTATCTCGTTCTTTCCCCGAAATTGCTTGGATGGAGGCGTTGTGCTGTGAGTGGAGTTATTAGCATTCAGGAGCCTTTCGGGTTTTTTTCCAGCGTGAGGATTTTGAACATCTGCTGCTGTCTTTCTAGTGGAACACTTGTATATTCCTCTAGGATCCCCTGCTTTCCATCCGACTCACTTGCCCCGCAGACATTCCGCGAGATGAGATGCAGCCAACGTGGGCTGTAGTCTACATCTTGCTTCTTTAAATTCTCGTCTTGTTTTGGGTTCAAAGTTAAGTCTTCATTCCTCCTGAGAAGCCTCTTTGGATTCTCCAAGTTTTGACAGATCTTACGGAAATATGAAACGTCGAGACAAAAGAGACAGTCAATTCTCCTTTGCATCAAAGGCCTCTAGACTATCCTAGAAAGGACATTTGCCATCTGATACCTACACCCAGGCAAAGGTCCATGCATGGCTATCCAAGACAACCGTTTCCAACGGTAAGTTCTTGAAAGTCTTTCCCTCTTGGTCTTGAAGAGTTACTTGACTTGGTCTTGAAGAGTTACTTGAATGTCCCCAGGTACCATTACAGGAGCATCTGTGACCTTGAGCAATGAGACAGTCCTTGGCACATTTGCAGAATGTCTAGCAAACAATAGCCCATGAAGAAATGCGGGTTGCTACGTTGAGTTCTGAGGCCAAGAATAGCGTGGGCCTCCAGCCACACCACATTGTTCTGAGTGCAGTAGAGTTGGTCCTTCAAGATGACCATGGGCATTTACCAACGAGCTCATCTAATGGGTAGAAAAGGATTGGTAGAGGCAGGCGCAAGGGCTATCTTTCAGGGATTTAGATGCTGACATGCTAGCACTTTTAAAGGATTAAGGCCACTTTTTAATAACTCCTGCTACTATCCCCCCCCTCCTGGAATGAATAACAAGCTCATCTGTCTTTGCAATGCTCTTCTCCTCTTTGGATCTCAGGCTGCATGTCTTTCCGCAGCCCGGGACATTTGCTCCCATCGGCTGTAATCTTGAAATGCCTACCCGACGCTGCTTTGATATGGCATTGACAGGCTTCTTCTGCACCCCAGTCACCTGAGCCCAGAGATCAACTGCTTTGGCATGTCCCCCTCCTCCTGGCTGTTGAGGGCTGTGCTCTTCATTCTGAAAACGGTCCCACTTATTGAAAGCCAAGGACCAACAAAGCACCCGATAGCCCTGGCCTGTCTGGGCATCAAAGAGCTCTGTGCGGAACCGTACTGAATTCTTTATGCGGTGGGTTTCCCCCTTTCATCTGCTTCTCTTTCTCTCCCCCATTCCTGTCCTTCTGTCCCTGTGCAATTACAGGGATCACACACTAGTCAGATTTCAGTTGCAGAGGCACGCCTTACTTTGAAGCCGAATACTCTTTGAAAATACCTAAGCCTGGACGGTCCCCGAATTCTCTCGGATTTATTTCAAGTCATCGTAGGGGTGTTCCATAATGCTTTTTTTTTTTTTTTAATTTCCAAAGTAGAATTGATCCATTGGCAAAAATTTGAAAACTACAGAGGATTATTGTGTGTGTGTGTGTGTGTGTGTGTGTGTGTGTGTGTGTGTGTGTGTGTGTGTTTGCACTTCAGCAAGGACACACCTTATATTGCTCTTTGAGTGAGTGGACATTTGTCCTTAGCGGTCAAATAATATAAAGGATTTTAAAAAAATGTCTTATTTAGCAGTTTGCTCCCATAGATGCATACTTTATATATAACACAGTAGAATAATATTTTATTACTCTGGTTATGCATGCAGAAGTAGAATGGCTAACTAGGTCATATGGTAGATGTCGTTTTAATTTTTGAGAACTCTCCATAATGGCTGTCTCAATCATATTCCCATTAAGTGAACCAAGATTCCCATGTCTCAGAAATCTCACCAACACTTGTAACTTCTTGTCTTTTGGATAATAGCTGTTCTAACAGCCGTGAGGCATGTCTCACTGGAGAAACTGTAACGCGTCCCAAAGGAAACATACCTGAATATTTTTATGCCTCTGAGCTGATGTGTGAGTGCGATATTGAATGCTGTCTAGGTGATGGCTAAGGTGTTGATCTCATCTCAGGTTAAAGCCTGGTTTTCTTACGTTGATCATACAGACCCAAAACTGTATGCAATATCATTGTTCCCCCATTCGGTATGAATTTTTGTGTCAGAGACCACACAAAGGGCACTGACTTCAACAAATTTTAACAGTTTGCTTTTACAGAAAATGTACAGCCTAGTCAGTTCAAGGTTAACAGGTTAACTACACAGCCTCAGCCCCCATCTTCCATTTTCCAATCATGGACCAGAAGACAGGACAAAGGGAGACCTATGATCATGGAGAGCGGCCGGCCATGATTCTGTGGATGCTGTCAATGGACAATCCAGCTCTCACCACAAAAGAAATAAGAGCTCCTTTATCCTGGAGCCAAATATAAGTGGCTGTGGCCTAGGAACCTGGGTCCAAGTTACCCCAAATAATATGTTCCGACGTGGAAACAATTCAATGGAATTTTTATTGTTACAGAGCAGCCATAAATCAAGGTACTTTTCAAATGTGTGTGTAGAAACATGCCCTTCAGCTTCAAGGTTGGTGAAAGAGCTGGCGGTCTGCATTCCAGAAGGTTTCACCTGATAGCCACAGGATGTTAGATCAGACCTGGAAATGGGTAATGAGTGGCTCAAAGCACAAGATAAATTTGGCTCTGGATCTGCAACATTCCAACTCTCCTAAATCACAAAAGTTCTTATCAAATCAGGTTTACAGAATCTTTATCAGGGGCACGGCTTCCCCTCCCCTTCTAAGGAACACCATTCAGCCTTTTTTTTTTTTCTCTGTCCACTTAGGGGAACACTGCAAGACCTTGTCGTGAAGGCAACTGAGAATATAGTCCTTAGAATTCCAGAAATTCTACAACTGCAACATTGAAACTATTGACGCCGGTTTGGAGTTCTTTCTGCAAGGAGCCACTTATCCCAATACCACCAAGACTGTTTTTTCTCTTTCCCACGCTGTGCCTTAGAGTAATTGGGAAAAAAATGTTTTATTTGTTTTGTTTTTTTCAGTTTTGAAGCTCAAGGTTCAGGAACCCTGTGAAGGGTTCCATCTTTCCATCTTTTGTACCAGTACCAAGCCCCCTGGGCAATGCAGAACCTACTCACTTCCACCTGAGTGAAAAAAGCAGGCGGTGTCTCCTGGCTGATTTCCAGAGATCCCATCCCCTCTCTCAGAGTCAGACCCATCAAGTCAGACCCGTTGTATAGCGCGCCATATTTTCTTTGAATTCTTTTACCATGAAAAAAAATTACTGTTAGCTTTTTGTGCGGTACAAAAGAGGCAGCTGGCGTGGATTTGGTACATATGTCATGGCTTGCCGTCCCCTGTTGCAGGCAGTGAGGCATTATCGTGGGTCCGTATGTTTTTCTGAACGGTAAGGAAGGAGAAATCGCACCAGATGGCGGATATCAGGGAGCCCCAAGGAGCCCCTGGCTCCATCTGAGCAATGCCAGGGGCTTAACTTGCTGCTCCTCACCGAGTCTGGGAGACAAAAATTATGCTAATCTGCCAAATTATTATTATAAGCAGGATCAAAGCTGAAAGGATGCTCCACAGACATGTCAGGGCATTTTTTTAATTGTTACAAACACCTGTTCGCTTCAACTTGCCTCTGGGGGAGAATGTCCAGGGCAGTCTAACAGCAGAGACGACCTGTGACTCAGAAACGATTCCCGCTTCTAAATAAAAAAAAAAAAATACCGGCGGACCTCACCATCTTTCATTGCCCGTGACATCATTCCTTATGTGATTAATCTGTAAGTCTGTATTGGAAACCTACCAGGTACCCAGGAGGGTCCCTAGGCGGCGGGGACACATGGTTAATAAAGCACTGTCGCTCCTGTCCAGCAGGGGGAGCTCGCGGACTAGAGGCGGTAACACACCTATGTCTAAGGCATGGACGGGGCTGAGAAGTTTTGTGCAAAACTACAATAAAACACAGTTTAAAAAAAAAGAAACACTAAAAATTAGATCCTGTTTGGAGAGACTAGAACGGTGGTAAAGTCTCCGACATGAATGGAGAGTGGGACGGGGGTTAGAGAGTCACCAGGGCACACACAGGTATCCAGGGATGAGGCCACCAGGACCGGCCCAGCTGGCTAGGGAGAGCCCGGCTAATGAGACCACCAGGAAATCAGAGGCCTGCATTCATTATAAGGACTTTGGATTTTACTTCGAATGAGATGAAGCTTCTGGAAGGTTTGGGGGAAGAGTTCGGACGTGACTTAGCTTTTATGGACCCGTTTCTAAGGGCCTGGCAGAGAACACAGTAGGTCAAGGACAGCGTCAGGGGCAGCGGAAAGGCTATCATTGTGCAGGTGACTGTTGCCGGGGGTGGGACAGGGTGCTGAGAGAGAAAGCCACTTCTTGCACCTGGCTCCACGGGCTAAGAGTAAGCCAGCCTTTAATTGTTTGTGTTTTCTGATCCCGGAGGATTCCAATGCTATTTAATTGTCTATTTGAGGGTAGGTGCTGGTAGCCCAGGCCGTTCACAGTGGAAAACACTAGCTAATTAAACTAGGATTTATTGTATGGCTTACTTTTATATCTCGAAATCTAGACAGGGCCTTGTTATTATCACTAATAAAGAGTCCTGGCTATAAATTAGGGTGACTTCACGAGGCAGCACTTCCTTTTAATATCGAAGAGTTGACGGGATCTATTTAGAGCCGAGTTATGCAGCACACTCATCTTTTAGCGGCCGCTTGCTTTCCAACGCTCCGCTGACGTCACCGGCTCGCCTCGGCGCAACAGGAATGCACACAAACAAACCCGACTGGACGCCCAGCATCGCAAAGCCGCAAATCGGAGCTTGAGGTGAAGCCTCCGAGGGTTGCTGGGAATGACAGCTGAGTGATGGAGCTCGGCTCTTAAAAGTAATACATTTGGAGTACGTTAGGGGCAGCACACTTGCCAACTGACTGCGGGAGGTGGGAGGGGGTGGGAGGGGGTGGGAGGGGGTGGTTTAGCCGCAGAGTGAATAAGTTTATTATTTTGTCTCTGCACACACATACACACACAGACACACATGCACACACACGCACGCACGCACGCACGCACGCATGCATACACATACACACCATTTCTCTGACCCATTTGAAGGTCTGTGTCAATACTAAGCCTGGCTTTTTTTTCTCTCTCTCCAACATTTCCCAAATTCACTTGCTAGCTGATTTTTTTTTATATTAGCTTCTTTTAAATATAAAGGGATGTTTTTATTATAGCAAATGAGTCCTCTTGCTAAGACTAATCTTTTATTTCCTCAGGGTTATAACTTTTATAAAGAAGAGCATTCAGATTTAAATTACTTTATAGTATAATTAATTTTCACACATATATACATATACTCATGCAGCTATTATCCAGATAGGGAAATGATACATTTATAGAATCCCAAATAATTCCTTTTTTTTTTTTTTCATTTCAAGACAGGGTCTCACTGGGTAGTCCTGGCTGTCCTGTATCCTGAAACTAGCTCTGTAGACCAGGCTGGTCTCAAACTCACAGAGATTCACCTGCCTCTGCCTCCCAAGTGCTCAGATTAAAGGCGTGCACCACCACTGCCTGGTGAAACCCAAATAATTCTACTTCCCACTAGTCAACACTAGGAATCATATTGACCTCTGTCTACACGGTCTCCCCATTTTTAAGCTTTATACAAATGGACTCTTGTCATACATATTACTCTGCATCTCACTTCTGTACTTGGCATTGTGTGTGTAAAATTCATGTGCGTGATCACAGCAGCAGCAGTTCACTTTGCGTGGCTACTTAGCAATACATTGTGGAACTGCCCTATAGTTTATTTATCCCTGGGTGGAATTCAGAGTCTCCAGCTTTGGGCTGTGGGGGAAGCTGCCGTGACCTTTCTCACAGGTGTGCTTGGTGTCCAGAAGTATTTGTCATTGTTGAATTGCTGCATCAGAAGGTCTGTGTGTGCTGATTGTGTGTGTGTGTGTGTGTGTGTGTGTCTGTCTGTCTCTTACTCTCTGTCTTTCTGTGTTCTGTGTGTGTGTCTCTTTCTGTGTTTCTCTCTGTGTGTGTGTGTTTCTCTCTCTCTCTCTCTTTCTCTCTCTCTCTCTCTCTCTCTCTCTCTCTCTCTCTCTCTCTCTCTCTCGTGTGTGTGTGTGTGTGTGTGTGTGTGTGTGTGTGTGTGTAAAGCTGGAGAGCTTTCTATTATTGGACAAGGAATAAATCCACGTCGGAAAGATAACAACGATGTGAAACTGATTTGATAGAATGTTTAATTGAATTACTTGAAATTGTTTGTCTATTGTGCTCTTCACTAAAACCAGTGAAGAATCACAAAGAAAGATCGTGTCCCGCCTGCTAGGATGGACACAGCTGAGCAAAGCAGGCAGGCACAAGACAGGAGCCGTGCTGACAGAACTGCGAGGAAGTGGAAACGTGGGGTTGGCGGAAGCAGACAGCGTGCAGAAGCTGTAGGACACGGTGTGGAGTTTCCCAAAACTTTAAAGTAGAATTACCATGTGAGCCGGCACCCCACGTCTGGATCGTTACTCAACATAACTGAAAACAGGATTTTTAAGAGATTTGCACCCATCTCAGTGTTAAAAGAGCCAAGAGGTTGACACACCCTAAATAAACAAAATGTAGCATATAGATATTGTGGAGTATTATTCAGCCTTTAAAAGAGGAAATCCTATCACATGCTACAAAATGAGCTGTGAGAACACTAAGCTAATGCAGCTACAGGAAGGCCTACACCAGTGGTTCTCAACCTGTGGGTCAAGACTCCTTGGGGGATTGAATGACCCTTTCACGGGGGTTGCCTAAGGCCAAAATATTTAAATTACGACTCTTAACAGTAGCAAAATTATAGTTATGAAGTAGCAACAAAAATAATTTTATGGTTGGGGGTCACCACAATGTGATGTATTAAATGGTCTCAGGCGTTAGAAAGGTTGAGAACCATTGACTTATGGTCTGATGTAGAGCAAGGTGTTGACAGTACTCATGGGCTAGAGAGACCCCTCAAGCAGCACTGGCTGATCTTCCAGAGGAGCCAGGTTCGATCCCCGGCACCCACGTGGCGTTTCACAACCATCTGTAACTCTAGTGCCATGGGTTCTGAGTCCCTCTCTGGCCTCCACAGGCACTGTGTGAATACTCAGGCTCTTGGAAAGCAGAGCGGTGATGATGGGTTGACCAGGATGGGGGAGGGCCGATCCCAACCTTTGTTAAAGGCTGTAGAGGTTTAGATTTGCAAGGGTTGTAGAGACCATTTCTACAAAAACAAACAAACAAACAAACAAACAAACACTGTACAACACACTCAGAGTGTTCAAGATGGGAATAAAAACAGAAAAGGGTATCCTTTAGAATTGGGAACCCTTTTAAAATGAAGGCATATGACATCATGTCCTCCCTTCCCTTTCCTCCTCCTCACCTCTCCCGTGTCCTTCCCTCACTCCCTCTGAAATCCATGACCTCTTTTTTCTTCGATTATTACACACACACACACACACACACACACACACACACACACACACACACACACCATACCGAGTCCTTCAGTGTTGCTTGTGATGTATAGGATGTCAGGGCTAGGCACTTGGTGCTGGCTAACAAAGGGGTCTCATCCCTGGGAAGAATGAGTTCTCCATTCTCAGGTAATTCTGTCATTCTCTGTCTAGGGGTGGGGGCCCAGTGAGATTACCCCCTTTCTACATTAGTACATCTATTAATAATTGTTATTTTTAAAAACCAGAGAGCAAGAACAGCACCCCATAACTTCAGCTGACAAATAGTCCTCGCTTATTTCTTGGCAAACTGGTCTTAAAGAAATGAGACGCAGAAGCCGTCTGCCAGACTCGTGCATTTCAGAACGCTCGGGGGTGGGGGCATGCTACTCCACGGAAGTCGCTCCAGGGGAGGGCAAGATCCTTGACGTTGAATAAACTTGTATAATTATTCGTTCGCAGATCGGAGATCATCATACCAGAAAGACTTTGTAAGTACCAAACAGTGATTTCCCAGCTCTCCCTGTCTCTCTGAATAAAGCTCTTGCTGTCCTTCCAATCTTTGCATGAAACAGAGCCCTGGAGTTGTAGCAACTCATAAATAACCTTGCTGAAGCATGCAGTCAGGGACCTAGCAGCTTCCAGCTTGTCGATAGATGTGACTGAGTGTCAAGTCCCTTGGCAGCAGCCATCATGGAGCCAAGGCAGCCCCTGCCGAGGTTACCTCACAGAGGATCAACTGACCACAGTTCCTAGCCGGGGCACCAGGGCCTTAGGAGCAAAGCCGAGGCTTTAGACAGACATCATACCTTCCCCAAAATGGTCATGAATTGAGGTAAGCCGGAGAGTATGGGAAGCATGTGATCTGCTGATGAATGGCAGGCTTTCCAGCCAAGAATATTATTGGATCTTTCTTGTCCTGAATTCGGCTTCCTAACTTGACCTTACTTGAAAATAGAATGGGCTATTTAGAAGTTGAGAGTCAGGGTTTAGTGCCACGGAATTTGTGAATTAGCTTCCACCTCCACTGGGACCCGAGTCTCGGGGTTAGTCTTGGGCAGGCTCTGACCTTGAACTACATGCTGCCTGCCCTGCCCTTGACACAGTATCTAACTTCAGAATGGAAGGTTGGAGAGCTGCCTCCATCCTGCCTCTTCCTAAATAGACCCAGATAAAAACATTGTAACGGTGAAAACAAGAAGTATTGTTTTTATCAGTCCTGTGGTTTCCACTAAAGCTGATAAATATGACTTACAATACTGTGCACTTTCCATGGGACCGAATATATTTATTTATTTTTGTGTCAAGGGAAGGAGGTGAAAATAATATTCCTTGAATTTAATTTTTTTTTCTATTCTCTTTCTGGTGTTTTTTCTTCCCTTCCCTTCCTCTCTCCTTCTCTACCCTCACCCTGTGGCTTCCCTCTTTACACCAGTTAAGCTAGCTGGAAGAGCATTTATGAGTTTGGAGCTCAGAGAAGACAAGCCTCTCAGTTCTTTTTGTTTGTTTGTTTGAGACAGGGTTTCTTGGTGTTGTTTTGGAGCCTGTCCTGGAACTCACTCTGTAGACCAGGCTGGCCTCGAACTCACAGAGATCCTCCTGCCTCTGCCTCCCGAGTGCTGGGATTAAAGGCGTGCACCACCACCGCCCGGCCTGCCTCTCATTTCTTAGCTGCTGTGGGACTCAAGGAAACTTCCCGACCCTCAATGTACCAGTTTCCTTTCATTTCAGATAAGGGTGATGACATTAGATAGCTTAGCTTCAGAAACAATCACACAAAACAGCTGGTAGACGGTGACTACCACTTATAATTTATGTAATATTGGGTTCTTACGGATAACCAACAGGAAGAATATTGATGGGGGGGTGGTGGAAAGAGCTCCAGTTGCGATAAAACTGTTGGAAGAGATCCTGCAACTTTTGAGAATCCGATACACAGGAACAGCGAGTGTGGAAAAAGCGCGTGATTGGACTCAGTGAAGTATGAAGATCGTTGTGGCAAATGAACAAAACCGAGTTCACACTCTCATATGAGCCGCCAGTGTAAGCCAAGCCAGTGCTTGCCTCCCCTCAGCTGCTTTTGTTCGGGGTGGTTTTTCTAACCGTGAACTTTAGATTGCTTTTCTATTGCTAAGACTGCTTTAAGAAATGACATTTCTTTAAATAAT